CCGGGTGCCGACAGCCCACCCCGAGCGCGCTGCTGGGCCGGAGTTCTGCCAGGTGTAGAGGAGGCTGAAGATCACAGAGCTGTGGATTCTGCCTGCCTACCCTCAAATAGACTGTGGTTTGGAAGCTCAAATAAGTCACGCACACAAGGGACTCTCACGCCGTGGGAAAGCCGTCCTGCTAGGGGCCAGGGCAGGCGCGCTGGAGGAGGTCTTACTTTTAACTGTGTCTGGAGGAGGAGCGGAGTGGGGGGCATGGGGCCGGAAATGCTTCGTCCCAGTGGCCAGGATGCCTAGGATGTGAATGGGGAAGCGATGTGAGTGAAGGGGGTATAAAGAGAATCGATGGGACATAGATGGGAAAGGCAGGCCGGCAGTTCCTGGGGGGCCGTGGATTAGTTTAGGGTGTTCCTACAGGTGAAATCGCAGGTTTTAAGGCCTTCGGGACACATTGCTCAAGCAGCCTCCAGGAAGGATGCTCTAATGTACACTGTGCTGGCAGTAAGGTGGGTGCCAGCAGCCTTGACCTTGACTTGAAAATGCAGGACAAGCAGGTACAGGGGCTGTGAGCTGGGGTGGAGTTTGTCACGCCACTTCAACGAATCCTTCCCAGCCCCTAGGCTGGGTGTGGGCGTGCAAAGGTGGACAGACACATCCCTGCCCTTGGGGAGCTCCGTCTAGAGGGATAGACAGACCATAGTCTAGAGGCGTGGGCAAAGCTGGGGCTCCCTTGAAAGCTACAAGCAGGTTTTTGAGCTGGAAAGTTTGTCTTTCCTGAGTCCTTCCTCTTTGAGGCACTGCACTCACCTCCACGGTGTTCCCAGGTTCCACCAATTGTCGTCAGCTTACCTGGCTCTCAAGGGACAGCGACGTTTTTTGGTTGCATAGCAGATGACACAGCTTTCTGCCACATTCCTTGTCCCAGCCACTTTCCTTCAGCCGTGGGGGAATTTCTAAGGTGCTTGTTGGTTTCAGCTCAGCTCCCTGTAAGTGGTATAGCCCGGCCTTCTCAGGTCCACAGGTAGGGAAGCCAATGGGGGGGGGGGGGTTCTCATCTGGGGAGTCTTGCAGTAGGCATCCAAGGCCTTAAAATAGGCATAGCTGTTAGTCCAGCCTTTAGGAATGAGCGTAAGGAAGTAAGTGTGAATATGTGAACGATTTATCTGCAAGATTATGCATGAGAGCATTGTTTATGAGATTAAAAAAATCATCTAAAAGGATCTAAATTTTCCATAAGAGATAGGTTAAATAATTTATGGCATACTTGCACAATGCTAGCATTACAAATTACATCATGATCATGGGAGAATACTTAATGACATGAAAAGAAAGTTGAAGACAATTGAAAATATCACATTGCAAAACAATATGCACTGGTTGATCCTGTTTATGATAGCAAAAAGTATATATGCACATATAGCAAAACACAAGAAAGAGGGAAAAGTTATGCATAAAAAATATAAAACACTGGTGATATCAGGGTAGGGGAATCATAAGAAATTTAAAGTATCTTCTCCGGATGTTTTCTACAAGACGTGTTCATTACTTGTATAATCAGAGTATAAGATACTCTATTTTTTAAAGTATAATAAAGTGGTATCTCCCTGGGCACAGGACAAGACATGCCCAGGCTGGGGCCAGGCGCTAGGGAGCCACATTTCTGGGAGCAGGCCCTGCCCAGGAGGGTCCTCCAGAGCTCCTGGATGCTAGACCATGCTGCTTAGCCACTCACAGTGCCACGCAGCAACCCCACTCACGCGATGTACTGCAGAAATGTGCTTGCCAGCCTTGCCTCAGCCCTGGGCACGCAGATCTTCCCACTCATCAGCCTCCCTACAGGCTGTGATGGGACAAACCAGGACTCAGGCCCAAGAGTCGCATAAAGGCAGAAAGGGTGGATTTTGTGGTCACTGTGTTGCATTCAGCTGAGCAGGCACATTTGAACTTCCATCCCTGACTGCTCAGCCCCGTACAAACCCAGTGCCTTCTTCAGGGAGCCTTCCAGACTGACCCCACTGTGCAGTGTGCTCTGAATGCCCCTGCTCTCATTAATAAGTACCATGTGTAGAGTGGTTACCGTGTGCTTTACCTAAATGAACATGAGCTACCATCACAATAACCCTATGAGCAGGCCCTACAATGCTCTCGTCACAAATGAGGAAGCAGAGGCAGATGGAGGGTAGGTAACTTACCCCAAAGCTCGTGCTAATAAATGGCAGAGTCAGGATTCAACCCCAGGCAGTGTGGCCCTAAGGCCAGCCCTCAGAGACACCGTGCCACACAGGCCCTCTGACAGACAATCGATGTCGCCAGTCATGTTTCCATGGTGATTTTGAATTGTTCCCAGATTGTTCCTGGAAGACTGAATTCCTTACGGGTCCCTGAGGAGGTGCTGCACACCCAGCATAATTGCTACTCTAACTGCAGGAGAAGCAGGTGTGTCCTCTTGAGCTAGCCTCTAGCTGCTAGAGACATGTCTACGGATGATTATGCAAGGAGCCTGGTAAAACACCTCCTTCAGGGACAGGCACAGCGCTGGAGACTCTGGAAGCCACAGGATGCATCAGGGCTCAGCCTTCTTGTAGGATTGAAGGCTTCTTGCTTTCTTTCCGCAGCATCTTCCCAAATGCCTGCTCAGTCCCCAGGTTCCTGGGGAGGGTCCAGCTCTACCTAGGATCATGGCCCTGGTCCTTCCACTCCAACTGGGAGGAGAGATTCGGTGAGGGAAAGAGCATGCAGCCCAGAGCGTGAGCCTGTTGGAGTCGACCTCTTGGCTGTCACTTCTTTCTTCAGAGTTTCCAGGCTGGATTCCAACCCAGGATGGAAGAGGCTGTTACCAAATCTGGGCAAATTAGCACAACCATATTAACAGGGGTTATCTCAGTGTGGGGGTGGGGGGGAGATTAGGGATGGCTTTTTTAGTGGCTTTCTTCTTTGCATTTTCAAATTTTCTGCAATGAACATGATTATTTGGGCAATTAAATAGTTAAAGGCAGGGGGTGGTGGCGGTACTGTTCTTGCTGCGTTCTTCCCAGGGCTCTCCCCGCAACCTTCTGTAGACTGCTAAGCTCCAGGGCACCCTCTACTTTGTGGGTCTTCCTCCGAGCCCCTCCTGACCTTTACCCCAGCAATCCTCCCCTTCTTTCACACCCTCCCACTGCACACGACTATACTGTAACCTTACAGATTACACAGCATTTCACAGTTCCCCACAACCTGCTGCACCCCACAACCCCAATGTCGTAAGAAGTCGTCTTTCCTGGGCACCTGGGTGGCTCAGATGGTTAAGCGTCTGCCTTCGGCTCAGGTCATGATCCCAGGGTCCTGGGATGGAGCCCCACATCAGGCTCCTGGCTCAGCGGGAAGTCTGCTTCTCCCTCTCTCTCTGCCTCTCCCCCTGCTCATGCACACACTCTCTCTGTATCTCTGTGTCTCAAATGAATAAAAAAAAAAAAAAAGAAGAAGTCATCTTTCCTATCTTTGGAGATGATGCCTGGAACCATATCTCCATCCTTGGCCCCTCGCGCGGACATCAGTCCCCAGTTCACTGCCAGACATCTGCAGCGGGATGCTCCAAACAGCCATGGTCACAAGCATCACTGCCCCAGCCTGCCCTCTCCCCTCCACGCCCAGGCACCTCGCACTTTCCTCGCCTCTGACCGCAGCACCGTCACTGACTTGGTAGGCATATGGAATCATGGCTGCTTTTCCCTCCTCAGGTTGGGCATTCAGTGAACAGGGAGGGCTGGTGTTCTTGTCTTCAAAATGTCTCTTGGCTCTTCTCCTGTCTCCCTACGCCCCTCACTCAGGCTCTGGAACTATTGCAGAGGTCCACGACGAAATCTTACTCATTCTTTTCATCTCCAGGATCTAGCACCGGGCCCAGCCCATGTATGCTCTTCATGTATGCTTCCTGGTTGAATGAATAAATGCACAAATGGGCAAAAAAAAAAAAAAATCTTTTCTAATTTGTCTCCTCGATTTTAGTTTTTTCCTTGCAAGCCTTCCCATATTTCTCTGCCAGTTGACTCTCCCCAAATGGAGACTTGGCCCTGTGAATCCTTCACATGGTGCCTTTAATGGCTCCCACTCTCTCTCAGGTCCTTCAATATCCAGCCCCTCTTTAGCTTCCTTTGTAAAGGATTTGATCTCTCTCCTTGAGTCTCTCCTCCAGCTGACCTGGCCCTTCAGATGGGATCCTATGGAAGGTAGCAGACCTCATGGTGGGCTCTCTGTCCACCCGGGACACTGTCTTGCTCCACTTCACCCCAACCTGTAAGACATACGTTTTCACGAAGTCACTGTTGTTCGCAGTCAAGAATGGATAATCCACGGATATTTATTGAGGGCCAACTATGAGCCCACTGCTAAAACCTAGGGATACAAACATTTGCTCAAAACTCCATTTCACAGTTTATAGAGCCCTTACTATGTATCAGGTCCTGAGCTGGGATGAGCAGACCTAGTCTTGATCCTCATGGAATGTACATTCTCATGATGCAGACAGAAATAGAGACAAATTTATAATTAACTGATTGATTGATTATACTTTTAGATTGGTTCTATGTAGAAATAACCGGGGTCCTCTGACATGATAACAGGGGGAACATCAGTCATCAGCAGAAATAACTTAGAGCACTCACACACCTGACAGGCATTTAGGGAGCACCTGCCACATATCAGGTGCTGTGACAGGGACTGGGAACAGGGAGGTGAATAAGATATGGTCTTTGCCCTTGGGGAGCTCACCCGTAAGAGGCCACGTACATACCAAAAGATCCAATCCAGTCCCCCCCCATACACATATTTAATATTAATTTTATTTCATAGACCTATTATTTGGCTGAAGTATCCAGTTGCTTTTTTAGTCCAATTTATAGGCCTGTTTAAACTCCTCCTCAATGTAGTTGGAAAGGCCTATTTCATACAAGAGAAGCTTCTTAGGATTACCTAAAGTCAGAACAGAGATTTAACCGTTATCTGCCTTTCTTCTCCCTCAACAGAGCAACACCAGTGGGTCTGCAAAGCACAGGGCTCTGTGAGGCCACCTTCAGACCCCAGTGCGCCCTTGTCAGCTGGCAGCTCATGGCTGACGTCAGCGTCGAACCACAGGGGCCACCTTGACTGACAGCCATGGCATCCAATGACACCACTTGCCGGGAGAGTCCTCGGACCATTCTGAAGCTCAGGCTCCCGCCTGTAACATGGGAATGAGACCCGCCCTACCTCTTTCTGTGGGTCACGGTCAAAATCAAACGAGATCATGAAAGTGCTTTGAAAAAGAAAAAGCAGTATTGAAATATAAAGTGCTAGATTACCTTTTTTTTATTGTGACGGTTGTCAGCGCTCAAGTTTTACTATTTAATAATAAGTCAAGATTATCAGAAGCTTGATAACACACCATAGCTGAATACAGCAAGCGTTATTTGTTGCGTACCCAAGAGCCATTTCTACTCTCCTTCCAAGCTCATGGGGAACCGTAATTCTTTCAGGTGAGGACAGAGCTTTTCTTCATCCACCTTGATCTGCCCCAGCCCCAGGGGGAGAGTGATGACTGGTCTCAATCAGTCATGGCAATCACATTCTACTTTGCCAGTGATAGGGGTGGGCGTAAGTCCCAGGTCTGGTCAATGAGAAATAAGGGAAAATGTGACTTCCCTGCCCCAACTTGAAACAGAATTTCAAGATAAGAAAACCTTTTGCCTCTGTCTTACTGGGCAATCATGTGAGGACATGATGCCTGAAGGGGTAGAATCTATCTTGCAACTGTGAAGCAATAAGCACAAGGACACAATGGAAGAATAGAAGATCAGAAGGAGCAGGATTCCCTTCTTCTTCCCCTCCTCCTCCTTCCTCCTCCTCCTCCTCCTCCTCCTCCTCCTCCTCCTCCTCCTCCTCCTCCTCCTCTTCTTCTTCTTCTTCTTCTTCTTCTTCTTCTTCTTCTTCTTTTCTTCTTCTTCTGTTTTGCTTCTGAATTTTATTATAGAGTCAAACAGACAAAGCACAGTCAGATGAGGAGACAGAACATTTATGTGTGCATGTCTTAGGCAGAAAAATTGTATCTGAACCAACAAAATCTGTTCATACATACATCAATGTGCCTTTGATCCAGACATGTTTAGAAGGAGCAGGATCCTTGATGATGCCACTGAGCTACTACGCCTGCCCTCCTCCAGGCTTCTGGTTATAAGAGTTAACTAAATGCTGTTGATGCTGAAGTCACTGTTACTTGCATCCATTTGCATAGGTAAATTGGTGCAATCTCTACAGAATGTAACTTGGCATATATTTCTATTTGATATATTTGAATGTACATGCCCTTTGACTCAACAATTCTCCCACAGAATTACCAGGAATTTCTTCCACAGATATAGTTACCCATAGGTAAGTATAGTTACATCACTATATTTATTCATATTGAAATGTAATTACATTAAATATTAATTAATTTAGGGGCACCTGGATGGCTCAGTTGGTTAAGCGACTGCCTTCGGCTCAGGTCATGATCCTGGAGTCCCTGGATCGAGTCCCGCATCGGGCTCCCTGCTCGGCAGGGAGTCTGCTTCATCCTCTGACCCTATCCCCTCTCATGTGTTCTCTCTCTCTCATTCTCTCTCTCTCAAATAAATAAATAAAATCTTTAAAAAAAATATTAATTAATTTAATTAAATATATTGATTCAAACATGTATGCAACAATATGTAAGATTAATGACAGTACATCCATAAAATGAAATATATGACTTTAAAAAGATTGGCACAGCTCTATGTATACTGGTAGGAAATTATATTCGAGACCATTAAGATATATGTATGCTGGTAAGAAGTGAGATTCTGGATATATTAAATGGAAGAAGTGAGATTAATAGTGGTTGAAGCTGGATGATGGGTATGTGGGGATTTGTTAGGTCATGTTTTCTTGTAAATGTACTATGGAAATTGGAAATTCACCAAAATAAAAAAATTTCAAGACAAGGGGCAGGAGGAGTAGTGTGTTTACTATGACATCATTTGTGTGTGTGTGTGTGTGTTTCTTTTAAGCAAATAGATAGATGAAGGATAGAACATGAATATGCATGGAAGGACACACCAGAAATTGATAATAACAGTTGCTACTAGGGAAAGAGGGAGGACTGGGAAGAGACTGAGTTTTCATATCTCTTTGTCCCTTTTGAATTAAAAAAATATTTTATTATATAGTATTTTATTAAAAATAAAATAAGATAAAGATTTATTTAGTTTTTAAATATTTTTTTTTTTAAGATTTTATTTATTTATTTGACAGAGAGAGACACACAGCGAAAGAGGGAACACAAGCAGGGGGAGTGGGAGAGGGAGAGGCAGGCTTCCCACAGAGCAGGGAGCCTGAGCCGAAGGCAGACGCTTAACGACTGAGCCACCCAGGTGCCCTAAATATTTTATTTATTATTTGAGAGAGAGAGAGAGCACAAGCCGGGGGAAGGGCAGAGGGAGAGAGAGAAGCAGACCCCCTGCTGAGCAGGGAGCCCGATGTGGGACTCAGGACTCGATCCCATGACCCTGGGATCATGACCTGCGCTGAAGGCAGACACTTAACCGACTGAGCCACCCAGGCACCCCAAAATAACATAAAGATTTATTAATCAACCAAGTGTAGGTGATGGATAGACAGATAAGCAGTCCATATCCTTGCAATGCAGCCTCAAGTGCTGTTTGATGTTCATGCAAGAGATCTGTTCAAATCCAGCCCATGACCCCGAAGATGGTGCCACTGAGATGAGCAACCCCAGGCTGCCATGGGGTCTTGCAAATAAGCTAAGCCCTTGCTTAGAGCCAAGTTATAAAGACGCTGGGGACAAGGAAAATTTGATTGCAGCGAGTGAAACAGACACTATATGAAAACAACACAAAGCACCATAAAATATTTCTCTTAAAATGTAATTCCATTGTATACACTTTCTAAAAGCAGAAAAGCACCAAAAAAAAGAGATTAAACATCATTTCTAATCCCACTCCCAGAAGCGATACCGTATATTTTGGTGTGAATGTGTGTGATCAGAAAACACCATTTTGTAATTGGAGTCTTCATTTATTTATTTTTATTTCTTTAAATAATCTCTGCACCCAGCGTGGGGATCGAACTCACAACCCCGAGATCAAGAGTCGCGCGCTCTACCGATTGAGCCAGCCAGAAGCCCTGTAATTGGATTCTTTCCAGTTCACAAAATAGAATTAGTTTTCCAGCATCATTAAATATTATATTTTACAACATAATTTTTAATGCGTGCATATTGCTCTTACGTGGCTTTTCAATAATCTTATCAATTTCTTTCATCGGACATTTAGTTGGTTTCCCACGTTTTCAGTGGCAGCACAATTACAGATCACAGGCAGTGCTAACACTTCCTGACTTCCACAAATATTAGCTCAACTTCCTTTCTTCCTTCCTTCAATAAGTAGTTATTAAATAAGTGCAAAACAACCAGGCTCAAACAAAGCACCTATGAAGGACATTTCTGAGATATTTGGGGAATTTGAAAGTAGAGTTGCTCTTTCGTGATGCTAAGGAATTATAATTGTGTGATAATGGTCTTGTGGTTATGGGGAAAAGCTTCCTTATTTTTTAGAGACTCACACTAAAGTATGTAAGGATGAAATGTCACGATGCTTGTAATTTGCTTTAAAATATTTTAACCAAAAAGTAAATGAAGCAAATATGGGAAATCTAGGTGACGGGCGTATTGTCTGCTTTTCTGTATGTTTGAAATTTTCATTTAAAAATATGTCTTAAAAATGAAATACATCATGCTAGGTCCTGGACTATGAGCTGAAGATGTAGCAGTGAACAAAACAGACCCCTGTGGTCTTGGCAGAGCACACCAGCCTTTGGGGAATATGTTTCCATAAGAAAGTCTCCAATGCAACCTGAGGGTGTCGCCAGGACCCGTGTCAGCCCAGCGTTCCTTGCCCTACACACCATCATCACTGCAGGTGTCTTTCCCCACCTTCTAAATATCTACCTCCCAGTGGCCTTGAGTCTAGAGGAATCCCCACACTGTGGTCACTAATACTGCGTGTCAGAAATCAGTTCTGTGGTCCATAGTGCCCCTGGGGTTCCATTCAGGAAACTCTTCCCGGGCACCCAGGTGTGCCTGGCACTGCGAAGGTACCAGGACCTAGAAAGGGGATGACCTGACCCCTGCCTTCCACTTACAGCCTGTGGGAGGAGGTGGAAGAGGTCACCCAAGCCCGTTGGAAGGAGGGGAGTTGGCTGGAAAGGTGACCAGGACAAGCTTCTTCAATGGGGAAGGAAGAGACCCCAGGGCAACGGGAAGATTCTTCTAGGAGAAGGGCTGGATGAGCAGTCCTGCATGCCCACCCACAACTAACTGCACGCCCACCCACAACGCCCACCCAGAGGAGCTAATGTTCATTGTATCCTTTAGTTCAGGGGTTGGCAAACTTTCTCTCCAAAGGGCTGGATAATAAACATTTTAGGCTTTTCAGACCAAGAAGCAACATCAGAGATATGTAGGTACAAAAGGGAAAAGGTCCCCTCCCCATTTTTTGGCCAAAATTCAAAACTTTATTTATGGACACCAAAGTGTAAATTTCATATAATGTTCACGTGCCATAACTATTCTTTTTATTTTTTTTTCAACTATTTAAAAATGCAAAAACCAGTCCCAGCTCATAGCCATACCAAAACAGGTGGTGGCCGAATTCGGCCCACCCACGTAACTTCCCAACTGCTCCCGCCCAAGATGGGCTGGTTCTTAACTGAAAGGTTTGTTTTCAGGGCTACTCTTTGCTGTGGGAACGGGAATGGGCCTGATCTAGTTGTTGGCACCTGGGTTCCTGGCCCATTTCTACCCCTTCCCAGCTGGGGGTTCTGAAGAAAGTCACTTAACCTCCTGGACTTCAGTTTCCTTGTCCCTGAAACCCGAGGGAGGCTCAGGCTCCTACTCCCAGGCCGGGAGGGGAAAATATCGCCTCGTACACTCTCCTGTGTACGTGGGAAATACTGGGTAGGGGATGGACTCGCGGTGCGTCCAGAGCATCCCCCCAAGGCCGAAGGGCGCTCTCCTCCTCACAGCCCTCGAAGCAGCGCACCTAGTGTCGCCTGGGGGCAGACTCCTCACAACCCAGTGCCGGTGGCTGAGCGCTGGAAGCCGGGTTCGGGGCGCGCCAGGGCAGACCCCCATCCTGGGAGGGGGCGCGGGCTGCACGGCGGGCGGGCTCCCTCTAGCCCGGGGCCGTCGGGCCGGCCGCGCGGGCCTCGCCGTCGGTGCGCCTCCGCCTCGTCGAGGGCGCGCCGTCCGAGCTCCCCGCGGGCTCAGAGGAGCCCTTCACCGCCACCCTGGCCCCGAGAGGTCGATCCCGGCAGCGCGGCCGTGCCGAGAGCGTCGGGCGGGACCGCCAGGACTCGCCGCCCCCGCCAGGCGGCCCCCGGGCGGTCCCCGAGGGCGCGCGCGTGGCTGCCGGCGCCGCGGAGGCCCTCCCTCGAGGCCCCTGCCCCGCAGCCAGCGGGCCGGACGCTGCCCCACGCCGCGGGGCAGGGCGGGGCGGGAGCAGGCGCTCAGGATGCGCCGGGGCTTGCCAACCACTTGCGCAAGTGGTGCTCGGGCAGCTATAAGAGGGGCTGGCAGGCATGGAGCCCCGGAGGAATCGCGGAGCAAGCAGCTGCGAGGTAAGGCCTGGGCACGCTCCTTCTTCCTTCTCCGCCGGTCTTTCTTGGCCAGCCACCCCACCCCACCCGACGCTGAACGCGGGGGAAACTGAGGCGGGCGAGGGGCAGGACAGACGGCTCGGTTCTGGACTATGGCGGCTTTGTCCCAGAGTTCGAACGGGAGGGAAGGCGGCCGGGGAGATCTGGATTCGGGGCCGGGCTGTGCCGTGCCCACGGAGCAGGAATCTGTGCCATGGAGGCAGCCAGGATCCCCGGAGACTGTCAGAGCCGCCAGCCCAGCTGCTGAGATGCTTTGGAAATTGCCTTGAGCACATCCCCGAAGATCAGGGTACCCTGCCCCCCTCGGAAGGGGATAGATTCGCGGGTGCTGGGGGTTCGGGTAGGAGCGTTCGGTTTCTGGGAACTAGCTTTGCTCTGCGGCTAAGAATTCCCGCATCATCTTCCGGTGGGGGTGTTCATCTCTGATATGTGAATGCGAGGATCTGTATAAGGCCAAAGCCTAGGAACAGGACCACTGTGGGGTAGAGGTGGAGGGAAAACTGTCAGGAAGAACCCAAATATCTCGGAGAAATTCTGCCGAGTCTCACACATCTGGCCTCAAAGCCAAGCAAATTGCCTTCTTGACAATGGAAGAAATTGGGGTTTTCTGAGCTGACAGAGCAGCGGGTCGCGGAGAGGCCTACTGCATGTTTCTCACTGTTACCGGCTCTCTTGTCAGGACCGCAAATACCCACTGTTGGCAGGTAGGCCCCAGGCAGAGTCCGCCTTCTCTCCCGGCCTGGTTTACATTGCATTGTGGGTGTGGTTGCCTTTACCTTCCCGTTTCTATAGTTGCAAGATGGTGGCATTTTGGAATTGTGAATCCTTACGTACCGCTAGATCCAAGAGGAGTGGCCTGGTTGTCCTTTGAGAATAGCAGTTTTGGAGTGGGTGAGATGATTGATTTCTGCTAGAAGGGTCTTCAGGGTGGGCGGGGCAGAGGGCAGGTACTTGCAGGCACCAACCCAGGAGCCCCAGGTCCGTGACCCCCGTTGTAGGAACTACAACGGGGAAGTTTGGTCTGTAGCCTTCTGAGGTGGGCAGCCGTCAGCTGGGACTGGTGGGAGCGAAGGTACCCAATCTCTTTCCCACCAGGCTGGTCTACAGAATCATAGTCGCTGCCATTCCCGTGTCCCTA